CCAGCTAAGTTCCTGTCCTGTTTTCACAGCATCTAGATTAGCTATAAAGATGAACACACACACACACACACACTGGACTCTGTTATCGATACTCAGCTGAGGTATTGATCAGCAGCTTTTAACATAATGTTTCATCCATTTGTAGCAGAAGCTTCTGGAGCTGAACATGAAGTGGATGCACGACTGCAGGTGCCTTTGAGCAGCAGAACCAGACACACGTGACACGGCTAATTCAATGAAACACACACAGAGTTTGGTGCATCGACATGGCAACCACAAGCTAAGTTAATGGAATGATGAATCGCAGCCATGTGACGCAGCGTTTTCCGGTAAAATCAACCCACTCAGCAGCGACTTCCTGAGACCGGGGTGGAGCCGCGGCTCTCACTGGCTGCTGTGATGACAGCCGAGTCTTTCAGAGAAGAAGCTGGGTCAATGATGATTAAAGTCCTACCTCCACGTACATCTGCTGGTCCCAATCAAACCTGCTGCTGATGCATGAAAACAAAGCAGCCTGGTTGTAGACTGATGACGTGAAGCAGGAAGGAGTCCGAACGTCTGGTCCGGGTCCGCCTCCATCCTACCACGTTTGATCAGGTTCTGCTGCTGCTTTTGAATTTGGAGAAAGAGAACGTGGTCATTCTCGGCAACAGTGGCTCAGGGACCAGTTCCCTCTGTAACTGGTGAGTTGTCGGTTCAAATCCAGACTCAGTCCGTGTCGGTGGTTGTTGCAGCTGCAGCTACCAGTGTGTGAATGAGTGTAAAGTCCTCGGCCTCCGACAGGAGGAGGAGCTCATTTATCTAATGAAGGTATTGTGTCTGATAGCAGCTTTTGCTTGGATCAAACCTCCTCCCAAAAACATCTAAACACAAACAACAACAACAACAACAAGCTTCAACATCAACCCAAGCATGGACATGACCACAAACAGCAGAGGCAGGACCAGGACCCGGCCCTCAGTTCAAGGCTAAAACTGTAAAACTCAGTAGATGACGATTATATTACAGAATGTTTGCTTTAAAGTGTTGTAATAAAACCCGACGGACCCTGAATGCGTGTGCTGGGTCGGTGGACCACCAGGAGCCATGATGGATTGGAACCATGAAGCATCCTGATCAGACTCTCTGGGAATGACTGATCGGTTTGTGGAGTTAGGAGTCCGACTTCACGAGTAAACAAGCTGAAACCAGAACTGATGCGGACTCTGACTGCTTCAAGCGTTTGGATCAGCTGCGTTCTCGACGGAGTTTCCAAACAGTCTCTGAAAATTCTCACTTTCCTCTCCCGAGTCCCAACGTTCCATCTCTGTGCCACTGCTGTTTAAAACAGCGAGAGGAGCCCGTTGAGGTGGCTCAGCCATCTGGTCAGGATGCCTCCTGGACACGTCCAACCGGGAGGAGACCTGAAGGAAGAGCCAGGACACGCTGGAGGGACTATGCCTCTCAGCTGGCCGGGGAATGCCTTGGGATTCCCCCGGAGGAGCTGGGGAGAGGGAAGTCTGGGCCTCCCTGCTGAGGCTGCTGCCCCCGTCACCTGACTCCAGATGAGCGGAAGAGGATGGATGGATGGCATTAAATCAGCAAAACAGTCGCGGTGTCGTCGTTTGGGTCTGGAACCTGTTTGGAACCCGTCTGTGATGTTTGTGTCTGAGCGAGATGTTCTAGGTAGAAAACGTTCTAGATAGAAGAACGAGAAGGGTTCCCTTTCCACGCCTTCTTGACGCTCTGGAGTCTTTAACAGCTTCTGTTTTTCCACCTTTATTCTTTTCTCTCTTTTCTATTTGTCCTCATTCTTCTGCTACCTCTTCTCCTCCCTCTGTCCTTTATCTGTCTCCTCTAATAGCTGTTTGGCCATTGGCTCCTCCTTGTTCTTTCTCCAGTCCTCCTCAGTTCTGCTTCACCTCATCACTTTCTCCCCGTAGCGTCTTTCCTTCCCTACGTGTCGGTCGCTCTCTCACTCTGGTTTCATGTGGCTTCGTCACCCGGCTTCAGGCCAGAGCCTCCCTCTGAGCTGCAGCACAAACACGCTGCTGTCAAAGCGTCGTCAGTCAGAGCGCGTCAACGTCCCGCTCTCAGCGTGGACACTAGTCGTGTCTGACGTGTCTCACAGCTCCACGGTCATTTGGACCAGCAGCACGACACACACAGACCAGGAGACGTGGGACACACGACCCAAAACCCCAGAACAGCGTCGGTCAACAGGAGCCTGCTTTTGTTGGAAAAAGCACAAAACCAGCTGGTTCCTGGGTCAACAGTTAGTCAGGTACTAAGTTGAAGAGCAAACCCTAACAATGGGTTAGACCCAGGGTTAGGGTTTGCTCTATTCCAGGATTAAACTAACCCTCACCCAGGGTTAAACCAACCCTAATCTGGGTTAAACCAACCCTAACCCTGGGGTAAACTCTAGGTTTAGACTAACCAGCAGTTTGAACTCACCCAGAGTCGCTGCTGTTCCCACAGATTAAGGCATCTTTGGCTCCTTCCACCTTGTACAGGTTATCTGGAACAGAGAAAACAGGAAGGAAGGGTTGAGGTGTGTTTGAATGAACCAGAACCGGGCCCATTTGGACCTCTGTGTTGTTTCTCAGGCAAATAAATGATCTGAAATGTTTTAAATGTTCTGAAGGCTTTTCTGAGACTAAACCTGATACACAGTTGGGTTTGTGCTCCAGAACATCTGCCTGTTAGCTTCCTGTCTGGAACACCTCAGCAGCAGTGATGTGTGAGTCATGACCAAATCGTTCAAGAGTCACTTTACTGATTCATGAATCATGATTTACAATCCCATTGACTCAGTGACTCAAAAACCCTGATTTATCTTGGTGAGTGACTCTTTAAAACTTGACTCAGTAAAAGAAGAGTTTACCGTCACTACTCAGCATGGATCAGCTGAGGGGACTCTGGTACTGGTGTGGTTCAGCCCGGTTAGAGGTCCGTATGGAGACAGAACCATTAGAGCAAACAGATTTGTTCAACATTAATTCAACCCCTACCCCGACCACAGGCCGTTTCTGAGAGCACTGACACACTTCAGGAGCCCAGCTGACCTACATACTCCCAAACTAAAGTACTGACCTAACCAGCTCCAGAGCTTTTAACGGGTCGTCAGCTGCTGCGGTTCTGATTTGATTTTACCCAAACAGCCTTCAGAGCTGACAGGAAGCAAACAGGTTCTTGTTCTGGGAACCAAACAGGAACTTTTAATGTCTCAGGGAGGTTTTTAACATCAGCGTTTTCTCTGCTTCTGGCCCATTAAACTGCAGGCTGACATTAAATAAAGATGTTTTATTGGATCCAGCAGGAACCCCCACCTGAGAGGGTTTCACAGATCTGCAGAAGCATAGAAAATTGTCTCTAAGGGACATCGGAGGACCGGGATTGTCTCCATTTCTCTTTAAAGCTCCAGAGCAGCAAATTACCGCCTTTCCTCTCCTGAGTTCTCCTCAGCAGGAGATGCATTCACAGGAGGAAATCTGAGTTTGTCAGAGGCAGCAGGAGAGTTATGAGGCTGTCTGTTAATCACGATCAAGATCTGATTAATGTGTTTCAACCCAAAGTCATCCGTCAGAGGCTGGATTCACCCAGAGCAGCTGGAAACGCGGGTCCTGTGGGCTGGCTTTGACAGATGACCGGATCTGGTGTTTGTTCCTCTGGACAAGACTTCTGAAAACATCTCAGCAGGAACCACTGCTGGAGCAGCTTCAGCTGGGAACAAAGGCTACTGGTTTATGCTTGTTTACACGAGTTCTGATGGTTTTGTGTTGGTTTGAGTGAGTTCTACTAGTTTTATGTTGGTTTGTGTGAGTTCTACTAGTTTTATGTTGGTTTGTGTGAGTTCTACTAGTTCACTTTGGTTTAAATGAGTTCTACTAGTTTTATGTTGGTTTAAACTAGTTCTACTAGTTTTATGTTGGTTTGAGTGAGTTCTACTAGTTCCCTTTGGTTTGAATGAGTTCTACTAGTTTATGCTGGTTTGTGTGAGTTCTACTAGTTCCCTTTGGTTTAAATGAGTTCTACTAGTTTTATGTTGGTTTAAATTAGTTCTACTAGTTTATGTTGGTTTAAATAAGTTCTACTAGTTTTATGTTGGTTTAAACTAGTTCTCCTAGTTTATGTTGGTTTGAGTGAGTTCTAATTGTTTTATGTTGGTTTGAGTGACTTCTAATTGTTTAATGTTGGTTTGTGTGACTTCTACTAGTTAATGCTGGTTTGTGTGAGTTCTACTAGTTGATGCTGGGTTGAGTGAGTTTTACTAGTTTTATGTTTGTTTAAATGAGTTATACTGGTTAATGTTGGTTTAAATGAGTTCTACTAGTTTTATGTTGGTTTGTGTGAGTTCTACTAGTTCACTTTGGTTTAAATGAGTTCTACTAGTTTTATGTTGGTTTAAACTAGTTCTACTAGTTTATGTTGGTTTGAGTGAGTTCTACTAGTTTAATGTTGGTTTGTGTGAGTTCTACTAGTTCACTTTGGTTTAAATGAGTTCTACTAGTTTTATGTTGGTTTAAACTAGTTCTACTAGTTTATGTTGGTTTGAGTGAGTTCTACTAGTTTAATGTTGGTTTGTGTGAGTTCTACTAGTTCCCTTTGGTTTAAATGAGTTCTACTAGTTTTATGTTGGTTTAAATTAGTTCTACTAGTTTATGTTGGTTTAAATGAGTTCTACTAGTTTTATGTTGGTTTAAATTAGTTCTACTAGTTTATGTTGGTTTAAATGAGTTCTACTAGTTTTATGTTGGTTTAAACTAGTTCTACTAGTTTATGCTGTTTGAGTGAGTTCTCCTAGTTTATGTTGGTTTGTGGAGTTCTACTAGTTTTATGTTGGTTTAAATGAGTTATACTGGTTAATGTTGGTTTAAATGAGTACTACTAGTTTAATGTTGGTTTGTGTGAGTTCTACTAGTTCCCTTTGGTTTAAATGAGTTCTACTAGTTTTATGTTGGTTTAAATTAGTTCTACTAGTTTATGTTGGTTTAAATGAGTTCTACTAGTTTTATGTTGGTTTAAACTAGTTCTACTAGTTTATGCTGTTTGAGTGAGTTCTCCTAGTTTATGTTGGTTGGAGTGAGTTCTACTAGTTTAATGTTGGTTTGTGTGAATTCTACTAGTTCCCTTTGGTTTGAGTGAATTCTACTAGTTTTATATTGGTTCAAAAGAGCTCTCCTAGTTTATGTTGGTTTGAGTGAGTTCTACTAGTTTAATGTTGGTTTGTGTGAGTTCTACTAGTTCCCTTTGGCTTAAATGAGTTCTACTATTTTATGCTGGTTTGAGTGAGTTCTCCTAGTTTATGTTGGTTGGAGTGAGTCCTACTAGTTTAATGTTGTTTTGAGTGAGTTCTACTAGTTCACTTTGGTTTAAAAGAGTTCTACTAGTTAATGCTGGTTTGTGTGAGTTCTACTAGTTTATGCTGGCTTGTGTGAGTTCTACTAGTTTATGCTGGGTTGAGTGAGTTCTACTAGTTTATGCTGGGTTGAGTGAGTTCTACTAGTTTTATGTTGGTTTAAATGAGTTATACTGGTTAATGTTGGTTTAAATGAGTTCTACTAGTTTTATGTTGGTTTAAACTAGTTCTCCTTGTTTATGTTGGTTTGAGTGAGTTCTAATTGTTTTATGTTGGTTTGAGTGAGTTCTACTAGTTCACTTTGGTTTGTGTGAGTTCTACTAGTTCACTTTGGTTTAAATGAGTTCTACTAGTTCACTTTGGTTTAAATGAGTTCTACTAGTTTTATGTTGGTTTAAACTAGTTCTACTAGTTTTATGTTGGTTTAAACTAGTTCTACTAGTTTATGTTGGTTTGAGTGAGTTCTACTAGTTTAATGTTGGTTTGTGTGAGTTCTACTAGTTCCCTTTGGTTTGAATGAGTTCTACTAGTTTATGCTGGTTTGTGTGAGTTCTACTAGTTCCCTTTGGTTTAAATGAGTTCTACTAGTTTATGCTGGTTTGTGTGAGTTCTACTAGTTCCCTTTGGTTTAAATGAGTTCTACTAGTTTTATGTTGGTTTAAATTAGTTCTACTAGTTTATGTTGGTTTAAATAAGTTCTACTAGTTTTATGTTGGTTTAAACTAGTTCTCCTAGTTTATGTTGGTTTGAGTGAGTTCAAATTGTTTTATGTTGGTTTGAGTGAGTTCTACTAGTTTAATGTTGGTTTGTGTGAGTTCTACTAGTTCACTTTGGTTTAAATGAGTTCTACTAGTTTTATGTTGGTTTAAACTAGTTCTACTAGTTTATGTTGGTTTGAGTGAGTTCTACTAGTTTAATGTTGGTTTGAGTGAGATCTACTAGTTCCCTTTGGTTTGAATGAGTTCTACTAGTTTATGCTGGTTTGTGTGAGTTCTACTAGTTCCCTTTGGTTTAAATGAGTTCTACTAGTTTTATGTTGGTTTAAATTAGTTCTACTAGTTTATGTTGGTTTAAATAAGTTCTACTAGTTTTATGTTGGTTTAAACTAGTTCTACTAGTTTATGCTGGTTTGAGTGAGTTCTCCTTGTTTATGTTGGTTGGAGAAAGTTCTACTAGTTTAATGTTGGTTTGAGTGAGTTCTACTAGTTCAATTTGGTTTAAGTGAGTTCTACTAGTTCAATTTGGTTTAAAAGAGTTCTACTAGTTTTATGTTGGTTTAAATTAGTTCCACTAGTTAATGCTGGTTTGTGTGAGTTCTACTAGTTAATGCTGGTTTGTGTGAGTTCTACTAGTTGATGCTGGGTTGAGTGAGTTTTACTAGTGTTATGTTTGTTTAAATGAGTTATGCTGGTTAATGTTGGTTTAAATGAGTTCTACTAGTTTTATGTTGGTTTGTGTGAGTTCTACTAGTTCCCTTTGGTTTAAATGAGTTCTACTAGTTTTATGTTGGTTTAAATTAGTTCTACTAGTTTATGTTGGTTTAAACTAGTTCCACTAGTTAATGCTGGTTTGTGTGAGTTCTACTAGTTAATGCTGGTTTGTGTGAGTTCTACTAGTTTATGCTGTTTGAGTGAGTTCTCCTAGTTTATGTTGGTTGGAGTGAGTTCTACTAGTTTAATGTTGGTTTGTGTGAGTTCTACTAGTTCCCTTTGGCTTAAATGAGTTCTACTATTTTATGCTGGTTTGAGTGAGTTCTACTAGTTCCCTTTGGTTTAAATGAGTTCTACTAGTTTATGCTGGGTTGAGTGAGTTCTACTAGTTTTATGTTGGTTTAAATGAGTTATACTGGTTAATGTTGGTTTGTGTGAGTTCTACTAGTTTTATGTTGGTTTGTGTGAGTTCTACTAGTTCACTTTGGTTTAAATGAGTTCTACTAGTTTTATGTTGGTTTAAACTAGTTCTACTAGTTTTATGTTGGTTTGCGTGAGTTCTACTAGTTTAATGTTGGCTTGTGTGAGTTCTACTAGTTTTATGTTGGTTTAAATGAGTTCTACTAGTTTTATGTTGGTTTAAACTAGTTCTACTAGTTTTATGTTGGTTTGCGTGAGTTCTACTAGTTTAATGTTGGCTTGTGTGAGTTCTACTAGTTTTATGTTGGT